GCTTTCCTTGTGAGCCACTCTGATCGCTGTAGTAATCTTTTGAGCACCTGGCAAAACACCTCCCTTGTCACCAAAAACTGTCTCATGATAAGTCATAAATCATTAGCAGAGTTCTCTATTTCATAAAACTCGGAGCTCTGTTCATGCACTCATCCCGATACATGCAATATAGTGCATTTTTTTTCTGTAATTAGATTGTCTGTCTTCAAAATGAGCTGGTCCCAGTATGCATACTAGAAACTTTTACTCCAAAACTTTTGCTCCTTTTAGTCAATAGGCTGTGAAAATGCCGGCAACCAAGTGGTTAAAATATCAAACAAGCTGCGAGGATATTTTTTTCTTTAAGAGAGGTACATCAAAACTTATGCAAAGCAGCAAAATGGCTTCAAAGCCATCTTTTAGAGACACTACAGGAATCAATTCCTAGTAGATGTAAATGGTCATCGATGAATTGAAATCACTGCTGTTTGTGAGCACCTGGAGGAACTATTGAACCTGTAACCTCAGAAGAGAACCTTAGTTTACCAGGCGACATAGAAAAAAAAAAAGAGCTTTCTGAAAAAAAACAAGCTATGTTTGCATGGAAATATTTTCCCCAAATAGAGATTGACTGGTAGAACTGTTTTATAACAATTGTGTGTGTATGTATGCATATCTATTTATATTTTTTAAGTGTTAGATGATAATTTTCTACCTTTCTGAGTATGTTAGAGGAAGTAAACTATAATTTGAGGGAATGCCAAGAATATCCTACTTAAAAACAGGGCTGGACCAGACTTTTGGCTAATACTGGGTGTGGAATACTGTAGACATTAAAGATATTAAAGGATCAGCATTAATTTGTGCTAGGAGATTTGTCTTTCTTTGGGCTTGCTGTTGTACCTGTCCATAAACTTAAGACAGATTTTCAGCATGAGAGATGCAGCATTATGGACCTGTCCAGTAAGCGATGACAAGGAAACTGAAGACACTCAACAGTCAGAAGATGGATGTAAAGGTCCTGGCAGCCTGAACTGAACTCTATCCTTTCCAGGGATGCAGACAGAAATTATTGCAACCGATTGCAAGAGCAATGTTGTAAGAGCAGTCAGGTATGCAATGGTTCACTAGCACCACTTTGTGTCCTGAGTTAACTTAAGAATGATTTGGCTTCTCAGTTGAGATTAATTTTGCATTAGGCTCATTGCCTTGGTCTCAAGAGATTTCCAGACAAATTAGATTCTCCTTCAAAATCTCGTGCCCTAATTTAATTTATAAAAAGGTCTAGTGCACAAGCATTCCATGATGAAATGTTAATCTTAGTTCCCAAACTTGCATTGCCTTGCCCATCTTAAAGTTCTTACTATGTCAGAGGATTAAATCAGAAGAACACTACGTAAGGGACAATATATAGACAATATATAGGTGCCCAAATCAAGCATGACTTACGCATTAGTTGCAGGAAGTTTTGTCTTCAGAATGGCCAATTTGATAGCTCACCTAATAAATAACAAAATCCTACAAATCAAATATATGAAAGATATTATTAAATTATTAAATGTCTAGTCCTTTAATCAATGTAGAAGAATATCCTACATTATTTTCCTGGGTAGTATCTCTAATATCCAGGATATATACACTGAGGTTAGCACCCATTCACCTGCAACACAACTAGTTAATCCTGCCCTGAGTTCTTCTTCTTCTGAAAAGATATAGTTTTATTAATGTTGTACCATTATCTTGGAAGCAGTAGATAGGTCTCCTTTGATGGGACTGTCTTTGAGCAGGGTGTAAATTTAGCCCAAATAATAGGATTTTTAGATATTTTTCTACTTTTGGACACATGAGGAGCACAGGGGCTACAAGTTGCCAACACATCGTTGTTTCAGAGATCAGCAAAAGAACTGCAATATGAAGAAGATGGATACAACACACCTAATCACAGGGATGCTGATGTCACTTAAAAAATTATTTTTTTATCTATCTTTCTGTATCTTTCATGAAAGGGATCTTGTTTGACTTTTAACAGTTAGATCAGTGCTCAACTGCAATAATTTCTAACAAAAATAATATAATTAATTATATAATTAGACAAAGCCTCCATATGCTAAAGAAATCTTACAGCAATAGATGTAGTCTTTGCACACCATGATAATGATGTTTCAAAAAGAAAAGAACTACAAACAATTATTTTCTTCTACCTCTGAACTGTGATATTTTCTGCCATAAAACTCCTGGTGTGAAGGGTTTAAAAAATCTTTCGCTTCCCACTCAGGAGAAAGCAGAAGTACTGTCACTTTCAGAATAAAGTTAATGTTTTCTTCTACTATCTCTTATACTATCCTGTGCTATTTAGTGTGCTCAGGACTACGAAAGGGGTTAAGATTAAATGGTAAATCTACAGCAGCTCAGGTCTGTATAGAATTTTCTTTCATTGCTTGATGTTTGGGAAGGGGGTTGGAAGATAGCTTGTGAATGAGCTTTGTGCCCCTAGCAAACCTCCCACAGACTAGCTATATCTTTTGCTTACCAATATGCTCGTAATTACCTTTTTCAGCACAGTTAGATATTTGCCTTATTTTGCCAGATAAAGACACTTGTATCTCTGTGTATTCGAAGAATTCCTAATACTCCCAAGCAACTTCTGTTCTGTGTGTGTCTTATGGGTGAAACAGTAGTGAAAAACTAGGTTTTAGGAATTTAACAGGGTAGTGGTGCTCTCAAAAGATGAGAGTTATGACTAAAAAAAAAAGTCATAACCATACTGGTTATGAGATTTTCCATACTGGTAGTTTTCAAACCAGATTTTTAGTATTTTCAATGAAATGAAAGGATTTATTGACATTAAGTTTGGGTGCACAAAAATAGACGTCAGATAAGAAAAGAGGAAGCAAGAAAATTTCAAGTTAGGTGAAATACTCCAGATTGCTCTGAAAACAAGTATTTCTTTCAATGTTTCCCTTTCCCCTTCCCCCAAAAACAAATCACCAGCCAACAAACAAATCTTTACTTCTGCAAACTGAAAGCTTTCTTTTCTTGCTTTCACTCTTCTGCTCTCTTTCACTCTCTTTCTGTTTTATAGTTCAGTCTCAGAATCAAAACTCTCTTCAGCATGCTCTTGATTTCTTCCCTGAGCAAGCAGAGATATTGGATTTTACATTTTCTCTACAATTTTACATTGCATTTTTTCTCTTGTTCTCTATATTGTAGTGAACAGAACCTGTCTTGGTAACAAAGCCTTAAACTCATCAGTCAAGTGCAGAAGTGCTCACTCCACAATGTTAAACCTGTGGCCTGAACTGCCATTGCCAAATGGCCAGACATATAGTAAGGAAAAAAAAGTATTTTTTGAAAGCTTCCCTGCAGCATTTCTCCTACCTGGCCTCTTGCTAAAGATTAAGTAAAAATAGATACACACTTTATAATAGGTACTCTACAAAGTCTTTGTATTGGGAAAAAATGTTGTGTATTGAGACACACAGCATTTCCTGCAATCTAGTCCTAGAAAGCCAGTGTGTTGGGTAGCACGCCAGGTGCTTTAGACTGAATAGTTATTCAGTCTAATGCATGGCTGATGTACAGAGGAAAAATCTCTCTCAGATGTGAGAAGCTATTAAAGAATTTTGATCTGACTATAGGCTGAGTAGGACTAACTGTTGTATAAGCCAGTATCACGTTTCCATAACCCAAAGGCTTGACTTTTCTTCTAAAGTGTGTTTTGAAAGGAACTACCTAACCATGGCTTTCTTTGGATACAGCTCTTTCTGGTGGTCCCTCCTTTTTAAAAAACGGAGGTATGAGATGACAGAACAGTACTAATATTCAGGCAGACTCAGGCAGAATTAAACAAGTTGCATGGTCAGGCCCCAGGTCTATCTGGCTGCTAGGAGCACCAGCAGTTTGTGGTGGGCTTCATGTGGACAGCTCTACTTTCCCAGGAAACATTGAATGATCAGTTCCTAGAATACATTCTGGAATATAAACCAAGCATTGTCAAGAGCTTTAACTTGCAACGTTTCTCCCACAGCATTTAGCTAGGCTTGTTAAGACTGTAGTAGGCAGAAGCAAGTGAAGTTCAGTAGCTAAAGAGTGTGGTTGAAAAGGTTGCTCATGTCTTTGAACTACTGTTTCACCAGCCAATAACACTGTTCCTCCAATCCCAGATAAACTTCATCCAGTCTTTCTAGCCAATACTTTCTAGCCAGTAAAGCTTTAACACATGAACTGTATCACTTCAAATATATGTGTATATTTATCTACTAGAAGGATAAATGCTATTATATAATAATATGCCCTGTTAATTTCACTGGTGTTCATCTGTGGTAAGTGGTACAGCTATAAGTTTGATTTATTCCTTCATTAAGGCAGTTAAAATCAGTGATCAAGACTCACTGGGAAAATGACTATTCAATATAAGTCAAAGTGGCAGCATCTAGAATTTAGGAAAATTACTTCGCGTCTTTGGTTTTGCCATCTGTTTTCATTTCAATACATTTTTAGTTATCTCTTTATTTTGGGGCCTAAATCATGACTCTCAGATTCTGGGAACCTGCTGCATTCTTTACTTTTAATAGAGTTAACTTGTTTGCATGAGGCTAACTTTTTTCCATTAAAAAATGCATATATATCTGTAGTATTAACTACAGATTATAACTGTAGATTATAACTTCAAATTATAACTACAGATCATTAACTACAGATATATACTGAATTTATCACATGATATATGGGAGGAGTGTTGTTTGTTTTTACTGTATTCTCAGCTTTGTTCCTGTCAATCTGTGGAATCTATACTGTGATACTTTAGATTCTAGCATTTTGGCACTTACTATTAGCAATTACTCTATGCTGTGTAGAGGAAGGAGAAAAAGTTTCAAAAGACAGGGCAAGAAAATCCCTCTAGTTGTAATCTTTCTACTCTAGAATCATAGAATAGGAAATCATAGAAAAGTCTATTCATTTATTTATTTTTATTAATCTCTTTACAAGTGTACATTTATTAATATTTAAATTTGTTTTAGGAAGGTTCAATGGACAGCTTGTATGAGCCTGTCCCAGAACATCAGGAACCTAAGGATGCAATTACTACCAGCAGCCGGGCTAGCTCTCCAGTGAACACATGTGTCAGTTCTGGAACACCAGATAGGTCTATGTCTTTGGTAAGTAAAACTCAACTCCAAAGTATGCAGGCTCTTTTGCATGAAACTGTTACCCTGTCCACTTGCACATGTGTGTGTGTTATCAGCTGGTTTAACTGCTAGTTTGAAGTCTTTAAATTCTTTAGATCCTCAGATCAAATTTTGCCTCTGTATCCAATGAACTGAATTGTGTCCAGTACTAACAAGCACACTTCACAAACAGATCATGAGTTTCTCTGCAGCTGAAAGGAAACTAAGATTAGCACAGCTTCACTGAGGGAATTTCTCTTTGCATCTACTCAGCAGATGAAAATGCTGGATACATCTATTAGTAGTGTTTGTCTCTGCAGGATATACTATGAATGTCTTTGCTTTATAACAAAAAACACATTCACAATTCATTAAAGAGTAAATTAAATGAATTTTGTAACTGATGGCCTGTGTGGAACTGCCTTTATATTTTATGAGACCTCATTAGGTAAACATGTGAAAAGTGTTGTCTTCTGTTTTTTTCCTCCTAAACAATATTACCTTACTTAATCCTTGGTGTTACCGGTGTAATATATAATTGAGGCTTTGACAAATACTTTAATATAGTATATTAAATTTCATAATCTCTTTCATTTCATAATCTTTTTGTTTCTCTCTGTTTAGCAATGCTCTTTGATTCGTAATTACTATCTCTGTCTTTGTAAAATAGTGACATATGATGCAGTCTGGGAAAGGAATAAAGCAAAACCAGGATTTTTATTATAGAAGGAAGAAAGACAGTCTCCCCTTCAGAAACTGTGCCAGATCTTACCCATGTGCTCTCTGGCTTGGGTGTCATATGCATGCATGTCTGCTGAGCCCATGATGTTGCAATGCCACAGAGCAGATTTGCAGACAGGACTTGTATGGGGAAAGTGTTGGAGCTGGAGACCAGGAGAATGGCTGCAAAGTTGTGCTGGGCACCTTTTGAGTTCCTAGAAGAATGGAAATAACTTTCTCTTCTAAGATCTTGCTGCTGCAACCAACTCCCTCCTTGCAAGTCTCTCTCTTCAGATAATCACCTAGAAACTTTGTAAAATGGTCCTGGTTTTGGGAGTGCAACAGTGCAGAGATCTCAAGATGATTCCTCACAGCATGTGTATAGATTGGTTAGCCTGGGCTCTGAGATGCATTCACATTATAATTTTACCTCAGTAGGTGGAAGATGTTCTCCTGCATGAAAGGACTTTACCCCATTATCAGGTTAGGACCTTATTGCCATAAAAATGAGCCGCATGAAGAAACATGGCAGTATTTCAGTAGTGGGAAGATCTAGCTATTTGCCTATGCCTGTGTTGCACGACCTGCTGTTGTAACATGCTATTCCTCTAGTGAAAGTGAGACATTTTGGTTCAGTTCTTATGTCCATTTAGTCTTTCTCATTTTCTGTAACTTCTAACCAGACTATCTGTTAATGACGACTATGCTCATATTTGTTTATCGTCAGGTAGATACTGACACCTGCTAGAAACTGCCATTAGACAAAGTAAGTTGAAAATTAAAAACAGATGAGTTTATTGGCTGGTGCCCAGCTACCATTGTAGTGGGTGGAGTATGACCTCCTAATATAAGGGCACTTTGTTAAAGATAGGTGCTAGAAATTGTCCTTTACCTAGTCCACCTGTGGTAACGACAGATATGCTCAGCACCAAGATGTTACAACATGTAAGATTAAGAATTAAAGGTGAAGTGATAGATGATTTTTATTTCTGGCTTTTCTTATTTTGTTCAGTTTTCTTATTCTTAGCAGGAATACTTCATGCTCTTTATCATTTTTCTGCATCATTTAATGCAGAATTAGGCTTCAGAATTTTTGGGACTAAACAAGACTAATCAACTTGTCAAATATAAAACCATTTATTTTCACTGGGCCAGGCTAGAGACTGCCAATGTGCATTAGAAAATCCACAAAGTTAATCTAAATAAATTGTATTGAAACATTTTTGACATGGTTTAGTGCTGTTTCTGTCATATGACAACTCATAGTCCATGAAAATATATGTACATCAGTGAACAGCAGAACCCAGCACTTTGGTTTCTGATATCTCTTAGCATGCATTTTGGTTTTCCTAAAAGGGATATTTTAGTGACGGTGCATATTTTCATCAGTATATTTAAAATTCATCATCAGTAAAAACAAAGGTAAGTTAGAAAGCAAACTGTTGGCTCACTAGATGCTAACAAGAAACCTTCTAATACTGGTGGTAGGTTTTATTTTATTCTATTTTGAGAGAATATTTGGTTCAGCACTTAACTAAAAATATCGGCTGGATGCTGTGTCACTGTGCTGGCTGTAAAATCAACATGGTTATTTATAAAATACTCTCTAGAAATGGAAAACAAGATTAGTGATGACGTGTCAGCAGTAAGACCTATGGAAAAATGCTGCTAAGGCCAAAGCACTATGTGTAATCTTATCTGCTATTTCTGGCATGTGAGTTATTAGACATACACCTTAGATGAAGCCGTTAAGCTTATTAACTGAGCCCATTTGTACTTCTTTCCCATTTTTAATTCCGTCACTTGATTCCACATTGCAAGGCGGTCCCCATAGCATGATAAATTCTGAACATTATTGGCTCCCTCAGGCCCTGATTCAGTCATCTATCATTATTCGGTAATGCACATACTTAAGTGCATTGCTAAGTAAGCATGGGCTTGAGTGTGTATTTAAATGCTTGACTGAACCATGGCCATGCAGACTTCACATAACTGTTGAATCTCCTTGAGGGGAGCAGCCTGGAAGTATTCAATTCCCTTCGTCCCCTTTTACAGCTTCAGAAATCTGCAGGACAAATATTCAAGGTCTGTACCCCTCAGCTTGCAAGAGGGAGGCTAGTAGTAGAAAGTCATTTCGCTTATACTGCAGCAATGTATTTCCTTGAAATTATCTTGTCTGTTGCAATTTGTCCTAATTGTGGCTGGCAATGACATTTCACCAGAAACATGAAAAGCATGGAGTATTTTGATAACTGAAGCTGTGCAGGACATGTTTCAGTGAACATATTCTTTGGACACCCACTTGAACTGTGGTTATTTATGTTCCTAGTCAAATATCTGCCAAAATGGTACATCCTGGATGAAGAATAATTCTTGTGTACACTGTGTTTCTCTCACACTAAGCAGGTGTTTTGATTTATATATGGAGTGTTTTTCATGGGATGTTCCTCCCTGGTTCCTATGGTGCTATGTTTTTCCTGTGTTTTACACACTGCTCATTATTATCCTCTCAGGGATTTGGCCAGTTAACTATTTGGCTACTTTTTTTGCCACTCAGCTTCAGTTGTATTTGCAGGCTATGAGGAGAAAAATGATGTACAGAGATCAAAACCAACCTTATGAAAAGAGAAGATGAATTGGATCTTCCTCAGAAATAACTGGTAGACAAGAATACATAAAGATCATATGGGTATTTGTTTTCTGTAGCTACTCTACTAACTGGAAAACTGAGTTCCTTCATCTTACTACATCTTGCAGCCTACATCTTGCAGAGTTTCAGTTTTCTGTCTTGTGAGCTGTCTTAAACTTCTCAGGATGAAAGTCCCCAATATTAAAAATATTTTCATGGATTTTCCTGTTAGATTACGATAGTCCAATGTCATGAGATCCACATATTTTTCAACCGCTGACCATGATATGATCACCTACACAGTGTATCAGAAAAGTACCAAAGAGTTTATCAGTCTTTCTAAGTTACTGACAGAAAATATCAATCAGCCTACAGTGTTATAATTGGGATTTCATTCCAGAGAGAAAAGAAAAGGGCTGGTTATCTGAAATGATCACTTCTTACTTTTCAAGTCGAACAGACACATGAGCTCTAGATAATTTTGCCAGACTTGTAAGCAACAGAGGAGCACAATCATTTTTTAAATTCAGAATTGTTCAATAAAAGGGGGGAGAAAAGGCCTTTATTAATAATTTCATCATGCAGAGTTTCCATATAAACAGTTCACTTTTAGGACACACACAAAAAAGCTCAGATAATTCATATTTGGTATGGGGAAGGGGTGACTTATTCCCATAAACAAGATAATTAATCACTTGAGAGAAACCAGAGAGTAGATTCTAGATAATATTTAATGTATTGTAAAGATTTTCCTTCTCTAAGCATGTTGAGGACAAGAAGGTGATTAGGAGTAGTTAACATTGATTCACCAAGTGGAAATCATGCTTAACATGCAAGCCAAACTGATGGCCTTCTATGATGGAATGACCATCTGTGTAGATGAGGGGACAGCGGTGGATGTTGTCTACTTTGACTTCAGCAAGGCTTTTGAATCTGTCTCCCATAACATCCTCATAAGTAAGCTCAGGAAACATGGGTTAGATGAGTAGACAGTAAGGTGGACTAAGAAGTGGCTGAATAGCAGAGCTTAGAGGGTTGTAATCAGTGGCATAGATTCTAGTTGGCGGCTCATAGCTGGCATTGTCCCCCAGGGGTCAGTACTTGATCCAGTC